ATTTTGTATTTTTTTTTTTGGAAGTCAGAGGTTTCTTAAAGACTTTTATATAAGGGCTTTGATTGAATCTATGTTTGGGTTTGTTGTGACAATAAATAAGAAGTTTTCTAGAAATACCAACAATTTTAAAAATGGTTGAGCAGAATAATAATTGCACGTGAACGATAAATTGATTTAATTTACACAGCAATGAAGCATATTTATAGAATTTATAGACCAATTAAAATCAGTACTCCCAAATTCCATAGCATCAGAACGAAAACTTTCTTCGTTGCTTATCACATCAAATAGGGTCTCTTAACTGACTTCTTGAGGCGCACACTTAATGGTACGAAACAAGTAAACTTGGAACCAAATGCGTGTGATAAATTAACCAAATGTAAATGAGACAAAGAAAGTGCAAATTGAACTGTAACTTCCTGACACTTTAGTTTGCATTTTCCTCGTGTCATTAACGTCAGGACAATTAATTGTATGCACTTGCTTTCAAGTTTACTGGTGTTGTAGCATTAAACTTTCATTAAAGGAACAGATAGGAGATGCTTCATGTAACAAAAATGATTACTTGATGATAGAAAATGAGATTGTAAACACAATTATAAAATCACTGTACAATTTTATGATAGAGTAGTATGAGCATGACAAGCATGAAGGGCAATATAGCGTTTGAAAGTTTGAAACGTTACAGTTATGTGAAGATTCGAGTGGACTGTGAGTAAGTGCATCTTACCCCAGGATATGGATGTCTGACTAATGTCGGCTCGTACTACTGATTTTAAGTTTTCGACAGATTTGGAACTGTGTATCTGCTAATATGCGTTCCATTCTATTGTGGGAATGTGTAAGTATACTTAAGTTGAATTTATATAAAATATTTAACACACATAATATTTTATATAATAACAATCCTTCTATAAATAAAAAACAATCAAATAATAAACTGATTCCCTCCAATCACTGCTGCCTGATGCTACATTGAAATGTGTCTAATAAATCATGTATATTCAATTCAATACTATCAATATTTCCAATCTCTTTCACCACACTGTTTAAAACTACCCCTATCATAATACCATCCCACGCCCCAATTTTAATACGTGAAAGCGGACAACTCAGACGCATCTTCCCGAAACAAATCAGCCCTGGTCACAGGCTTTGACTCGCTATCTACCCTTTGACATTAAATTTCAATAGAGCAATGCACCTACCCTTCCAAAATACATTGATCTCCCAATTGATCTAAACCTAAAAATAATTAGACCTCTCTGACAGTAAAAGTTGAAAATATCGCTGCTCAGTTGCTGCATAGTTCAACTAGAAAGAGTCTTCCCCACCTGTCCATGCCTCCAAACTGCTCCAAACTACCCCGACCTCTTCCCCTTCTAATGATAATACTTGACATGGGACCACCCCATAGGAAATCCTAACGTCCCCTCTCAAACGGCCGCAGTCGGCAGCGACCTCCGGCGCGGTGTTCCGCTTTGGGAGATTTCGGGGCAGCGCAGGTGCGTGTCGCGTGTTATCGACCAGCGATAAACGCGCGACCAATACATCGATAGCTCGCAAAGCGTAGGGGTAAGTCGCAACGCAGCGGGCGGGTGGCGCGGCTGCGGCCGCCAACAATCAAAATGGATGTTCGTTCCGATAGCGCGGACCTCCGCTTCCTAGCCGCCCAATTAGATCCCTCCGCTTCCAACGGCAACCAACTCTCCACCCCCGTCCCACCTGCTTCCCCGCCAGCTGCAAGAGCATTTCTCTGACCAGGCAACTACGTACGCTGCCTACCGCGATTCAGGGGCGATTAACGTTGCTTGGATCCGTTGAGTGGCAGCGAAACTGCGGACGAAGGAGCCCTCCAAGGGGCTGGGGGAGAGGGGAGTGATTAAACCAATAACTATTAATCGACGAGGCACCGCACATTCAGCAAAGTCCAGCCACCCTTCGGCTACCTGATGCACGAAACGGTACACTCGGGTACGTGGCCATCGCGGTGAAGACGAGTTTTAGGGCTACTTGTGACCCCTGACCCTTACTGCCATAAACCGGCGAAAATTTGAACAAGGTGTAATGAATTTTCAGGGGCTGATGGGAGATTGATGTGAAAGGGGGGGGGGAGGGTTGTGTTTGGAGGTTTTGGGTACAGAGGGTTGGGGAACAAAGTGAGGTTCGCGAAATTGGTTTGGGGGATTTTGGGAAATTAAAATGAGGTGTGCGGGGTTAAGGTGGTGGGTTGGCGAGGAGTGATTTTGAAGTAGAAGATATTTTTTAGGGTACTGGTAGGTGGAAATGTTAATTATGGTTAGTTTTATGGAATACATGGTGTACTGTTCACCATACCACTTTCTTCTTTAGATAAAGAGTTTCCCAAGGGAAGCTTCTGGAGGTTGTCTTTTAGTAACAAAATTGGAGTGTGTCAATATAATTAAATATGTACAATCAGTCCCATAAGTATTCGTACCCTCTGTATCTATTGAAAAAATTTGTCTAAATAATAGTTCCAAATAAATATAAGTAAACTTTACTCGTGTATTTATAAATTTATAATGAAAAATTGATTTGCAACCATCAAACCCATCATTTAATTTAGATTTTCTTCAATGGACACAGAAGGTACGAATACTTATGGGACTAACTGTGTTAATATAAATATATTATATAAATTATATAAATTGAATGTACATTCCATACAATTTATGTTTGACTAAAATATACACTCCTCAAGCCTCCACAGAAAAACCCTTTATAATACAAAACTATTGCATTCATTGGTAGCTCCTACAGTAAAACACAACATTAAAAACAAAATGCGACGAACAAAAATTCTTGAAGTTTGGCTATGACTCCCTCAAGGCCTTGTTCGTGACAAAATTCAAATTACTCTTCATGGTACATTTCTCGAAACAATTCCATCAGACTTCCATCGAATATCCCATAAAGATACTCCTACACTGTCCCAACAAAACACAGTTTGGGTGAGAATCACAGCGGATACGAACACGTATATAGGGATAGCATAACGCCCTGCTCTTCCTGATAGTGTGTCAAAACACGCCACGGCTAGTCTCCCCTATCAACCGTTACGAGTTGAACCGTTGTTGTTTACCCCTCTCGAGAACCACCCCCTCCAGCCTCCAGCCCCAGTTTATACCCCGAGCAACGTCACGAAGTCCTCGTGGAAGGACTGTTTGTCAGGGTGCGTATGTGGAGGAAGAGAGGAACTTTGCTCCCGCCCAACGATCCCTCGGACAGAGTCCAGAGTTCCAGACCGCCCCTTCCGGATATTCGTTCCTCGTATATCTCCGGCTTGGCTGGCTTCGCTCTCCAATACACGCGGAGCTTCCCTAGCTGGGTCAAAAGGGAGAAACGTCGTTCGCGTACTCGAATTACGTGCGCCAGTTTAAGGAGCTCGACTGGTAAGGGTCGAACGGTGCCTGCGTCCTCCTTGATAACCTGCCAAACTTTTCGACTTTTCGTTCCTTTTTGCCTTTTACGTGACTAGTACCTGACGCTGGCGTAGGACACGGTATAGTTGGCGTTCTTTGGGGCCAGGGAGTCTCTGATTTTTCTGGGGAGACGGTAATTGCTGGCGTGACAGGGTTTAGGGGCTGGGGTTAATTGCAATTCTCAGATTGGGACATGGAACAGGGTTTGTATTATGGTATGGTGGGTAAGGGAAGTGTTAATTGGTACTAGTCGGAGGATAGGTAACAGGTGTAACTGACTAGGAGACGTGGTACTATGTCTTTGTATGTAAAGAGTTGACTAGGTGTTAATGATACTTGCGATTGCTGGATCCAATTATCATTACCCAACTGAATAAAGTAGAAGCGAGTGGTAATGTTCTACTTACTCTATCGTAGGAAACCAATGAAAAGTTTGTTTTAATATTATATCTTGCTGAAGGAACTACCAAATATTGCAATAGTATTGCAAAGTCCTTTCTAAAAGAAGATTCGCGATTTTGTATTTTTTAAACGTCCTTAAATATATCAAGCTGAAGAACCTGAAGGATCCCTGGAATAACTGAGGATTGAACTAAGTAATCAATCTAGAACTAACTAAACTAGGTGGATCTATAAAAAAATAATTATTTCTGACATGCCGCAGTGTGTCTATGTCCAGGACTAGACAAGTTGCAGCAATGTTTCTGCGATATTTCAGTCAACGTTCGACGCCCTTAATGAGCTTTTGCGCCGCGCCCTAGAGTAACGGAGCAGCCTAAAGTTGAAGAGGAATGTGCTCTTCACATCCAACTAAGCAGTTGCCTGCAATTACAGTTGCAGACAACTATTTATGGTACTCAGAACTATTGGGTGGGTATCCTCACTATCCATCGCATTGTTCTGGCTCGTCCACTTGTCAGTACTCTGACACGTACTTCATAAATACTGTACCCAAATCTATCAAAAAGCAAGGTGAAATTACTATACAAGAAGATAAAAAATTGAGAAAGTACCTTTGTAAGTACGCCAATTCGTTTCCTCGACAGAATGCGTGGAAAAGGTTTAGAGAACCTAGTCGATAAGACAGAGCGTTCTACCAATAAGACTCGATAGAACAGGAAGCTTAGTCAATTGCAGAAGCATAGGTCAATTGATAAGGTAAAACACACTGTTCGATGAAACAAAATAAAATAAACAAACAAATGAAAAATGTGAAAGTGACATTTATAAATTCCAAAGGACATTAGAAATGGTATCCTCTTCCAAGTTAAATTTGATCCTCAGCCGCGTCTCCGTGAAATCACAAGGCAGGAAAACTTTGACGAGGGTGAGCCGTGATGCGAAAGCACGGACCAAAATAAACGAACACCCGTTAGTAGAAACGGAAGACACGCGGGAGACACGCGAGATTCCGGCGCTAACGAAACTAATTTCATTGCCGTCCACTTATTATGATCAAGACGGGGGACCCGTCGACTAGCAGACTGTTGGTGTAGAGTTGCATAAGGAGCAACGAACAGTCTCTGGTTAACAATGTTTTAGCGTCAATTTACTTACCGCAGCTGCCATGGAGAGATGAAGGGTGGCTCGGACGGCGGGATCTGAGGTTTCGCTAAGCGAGCCATAGCCGACCGGAATCTCTGCTGGCTCTTGACATTCTGAAACAGGAATTGTCCCGCGTCAGATTACAATCCCGATTTCGTTACACTCAAACGTGCATTTCCTCGAAAAACAGAAATTAAAAGCAGGTTCGAATTACAATTATAACCTGTGCATTGTTAGAAATATTCTCAATTTTATTTTACCATAATATATTCCCCTTAAAAGTGTTTTTTTTTTTTTTTTTTTTTTAAAGAAAAAATTCATATTTACCTCGAATTTGTATATATAATAAGTTATATTCGTAATTAAAGTGTCTGTATCTTGGACAGGAGGAAAAGGGTATCAGTATGAAAGTACTTTGTCGATAATGCTCCATAATATAGAACATCCAGTCGATAAGCCACGTCGACCAGCTGGTAATGTAGAACACTCTATCGATAAATTCTTCGATAAATCAGAGTTCTACATTACCGAGTCTTCCCGAAAGAATGCCTAACATTACCAATAGAGTACCCTATCCTACCGACCATACAATTTCCTTGTAAGACGACTCTCTTAAGAGCTACGTGCCCCTTCTTAAAAACGTCAATTTCACCCAGAACGAATGCTTTCGAAAATTAAACAGATTCGCGCGGAGTGGAGCAGGCATTACGCGGATCTCGTCAGGCAGCCGTGGAAACAATTTCGAAAATTCGGCCAGGGAACGAAGCGCCGAGCATTGAGGGCAGCCCACGCCACGGGAGCAAGTTGAAAGGTAATCGTAAACTAATTGGAACTAAATTCGCCCGACGTAATTACGCGTTTTAATTTGAAGCTTCGTGAAAGTGCCCTCTCCTAGGGATCGTGCTCGTGGCCGCTACCACCGCCCCTTCGTTTCTCACGCGTTTTAAGAGGGGTTGTATTTTAAGCTACCTAGTAATTAAAAGAATTACGTCTTCATTCGGTCAGGTAGCAGACTGCTGTATATCCCCAGGAGCGAGACGACGAAAACGTAAAATGGAACGACCGTGGATTTCGTTCTGCCTTTGTTAACGCTTTAATTGGCGTAAAAATTGACCTTATCGAATTTTAACAACGCTTGGTGTCCGAATTGAGTGTTCCTATTGGGATGGGCCAGATGTCTAGTCAAGATTTCCCTATCGACACTGTAATTAGATAAGGGATCCTATGAACACTCTGTCGATAAATCTACGTTATGAAATCTTACCGACAGAGTGCTCCACGTTGCCAACAGAATATTCTTAAATATTTCCAGAGTAAATCGGTCATGTAGAATACTCTGTGGATAAGGCATCTTGTAAATCTGATGATTTTAATGGAACTAATACAAGGTAATTATAAAATGAGATTGTGTTAAAAAAAAAAATGCGTGGACGATGATCCAGTTTGCCTATAATTTTGCAAACTTACGACAAGCGATAGACCCTGGCGAGTAAGCCGAAGTTCCGTGTGCCCCAAAACTTGATACGCCATTCAAGACCGATCAAACTTTGAGCTCTAGTAATCCCGAAGCCAAATATTCCGCTTATATGTTATGGTTATGGGTGGGACCGTACGTTTTCTTAGCCACGACGGCGCTAATCCTCGAGTTTCCACCAACTTGTCCCGCAGTGTTTCTAACTGCGTTCTCATGGAGATTCGTGGAATAACAAGGCGAGGTGGAAACGTTCAGTTTCTTAGAGCTTATTGATAAAACCAATTAACACTGAAACTGATTGCCACTATTGGCCAAAGTTTTAGCTCTAAGGCAGCTCAAAGTGTGGCTCGTACGCCTCGGTGTTGAATTATGTATGATGTGACCTGATTCTAACATGCAACTCGTTGTTAGATTAGTCATTGTGTAAAATGATGTTCTTTTCTTCATTCGTTCAAACGTTACCACGTTGAGCAAAGTTTTAAATAAAGTACAAATGGGAGGAGAACTCGCATATTTAAAAACCGCAATTAAAATGATGAAATGTTATCTGCAGCGGTAATATTATATGTTTCATATTAGTATACAAATATATACAGTATACAAATATGGAGCACTCCATGAAGTAAAAACATCAAAACGAATAAATTTTTATCAAACTGACAATAATCATGTAAACAAAATATTAACTGAAAGTGT